CCCCCCTAGAGGGGCCTCTTCGCTTCGTATTTGTGGTGGACTCGGCTGTGGATCCTGCAGCGCAAGAGGTGACGTCCTTGCTGCAGTGGCGACGAGAACAGCAGCAGCAGCTGCAGCAGCAGCAGCAGCAGCAGCAGCAGCAGCAGCAGCAGCAGCAGCGGCAGCAGCAGCAAGCCCAAGCAGCGGAAGAGCAGCAGGAGCAGCAAGACGGGCCGCGGCTCACGCCACACCGCTACGGCCTCCGTCCCAGACGCAGCCTGTCGAACGGGGCAGCGACGACCGGTGCAAATGCTGCGAGTGCGTCGCCGAGGGCATCGCGGCCGCGCCAGGCTGCCGAGGCAGGCGCGGCGGCAGCATATGGCGACGCCCTGATCGTCGCGGGCCGCGCCACGACCTGCAGCCAGAAGATACACAGGTGGAGGTGCCGCGTGTACCGCGCGTTGGGGGCCGCTCCTTGCCCCGGGCTGCATCAACAACTCGTTGCAGCATTGCAACCTGCGGGTTGTGTTTGGTTACGTGGCGCCCTGGGGTCGCTCCCTCAACCGAGCCGCTCGACCCCCTGTATAGCCTTCCACCGCTGTGTCGACGCTGGCCCCCGCCGCAGCCTCCTGGCTGGCGTTGATGCGGCGTTGGACGGGGTGGGCGACGGCGTTGCCGCCGAGGATGTCACTAGTGACCAGGGTTACGTGCTGTTCCTGGACGATGATGTGGCGCTGCATCCGGGGACCATCGGGCGGCTGGCGGACGAGCTGGAGAAGGACCCATCCGCCTTTATGGCCACCGGTGGGCGGTGCAGTACCCCGCGGCAGTACAATAAAAGTCCGCGTACCATGCGATGAGTCGTCCATAAAAGCATCATGCTTCCCCCATGCAGGTCCCCCTTCTGTTCATTGAGATTCGCCTGCTCCTGATCAACCCGGACGCACCTTACTCTGTCCGCTTGCGCCCATGAAGCCGACCTTCCCCTGCCCTCTGCTGGGTTGCTTGCACGCGAAACCCCTGCAGGCTACCCCTTCGATTTGGTGGCCCCGGGGGCGGCGCTGCCCGCGTACGCGGTGCTGGTCTACCACCTCCCCCTGAGCATCGGCTTCGCTGTCAGCCGGCGCGCCCCCATCGTGTGGGGGGGCTGCATGATGCTGCGCGCGCGGGAGCTGCGGGGGGACCCGCGCGGACTGCTGCAGGTGAGGCTGCCGAGCCTATTGAGCGAAGCTCCCGCTGGCGCCGGCGCCGGACCGGGACGCTCTCTCATTCCACGGCCTGCGCGCTTGATATTGCAACGCCGTTCGTTGCCCGTGATGCTGTCAGCGTTGCTGCCCCTTCCCGGTTTCTGTTTGGCACACCGAGCCTCAGCGGTCAAGCAGCGTTGGGGCTCCCACAACCGGCGCCACCTCCAGGCCTGGCGTGACGGCGGCTACAGCGACGACCTCTCTCTGGCCGCCCTGTGCACCCGCCTGGACCTGCCCGTCGTGCCGCACCGCGCGGCGCTGCTGCCGCAGCTGCTGGGCGGCGCGGTCTGCGGCAGCTGGAGGGGCTACTGGAACTACCTCAGGCGCCAGCTGTTTGTGCTGGACACGTACCAGGACGACGAAAACCGCCGGTGAGAGGTTTTGTCGGCTCCGTCCTTGCCGCAATCTCCTGTTTATGCAACGCGGCTTCCCTCGTTGACTGCTTACTGCGAGAAGAGACCCAGCCGCGCGCGTGGCCCGCTCTGTGGGTTTCCTTCCACGAAACGACGCACGTGAGCGTCACCCCCGGTGGCTTTGCGCCTGGCCTGACACCCCCCTTGAGACACCCACCCTCTGCTCGAACAAACGTCACCCACACCGTTGTATGCAGGCTGCACTACGCCTTCCTGGCTTGCCATAGCTGGGCCTCTTTCTCCATCGCCTGCAGCCTGCCGGCCGCCCTGCTGCAGCTCGCCTGCCTCGCGGGCCCCTCAGCCGCCGCCTTACTTGCGGCCGCGTGCGACGAACTCGTGCGGCGCTCCCTGCCGCTCGCCGCGGCCGCCTGGGCGCGAACAGCTGCAGCGCTCGGGATTGATGGCGGCAGCGCAGTCAGCGGCTTGTGGGCGGCGCAGGAGGCCGCGGCGGCGCTCGTCGCGGCCGTGTGCCGCTGCCAGGGCCGGCCGCTGTGGCAGGCGGCCGCCCTGTGGCTCTTCGTCTGCTCTGTTGCGCTGGCGCAGTGCTCTCTGGCGTACATGGCGGCCGAGTCGCTCACCCTGATGCGCGCCCTCAGCGAAGAGGGGTCGGGCGGAGGCGGCGGCTCTAGGGACAATAGCAAAACCAGCAGAGCAGAGAAGAGCAGGAAGCACAGCGACGGCGGCGGCGGCGGGGGCAGCGCTGCCATCCTGCGGAAGGCTGGCCCGATCAGCTGGCCGCGGCTGTGGGCGGGTCTGTGGGTGGAGAGCGCCGTGCTGCCGCTGTGCGTGCTGTGGACGCTGTGGCACGACGGGATTGAGTGGTCTGGGATTCGCTACCGCAAGCGGCATGGGAAGGTGGTGGTGGTGGGCGACTAAGCGGCCGGAATGGCCGCCGTCACGAAAGGCCCTGCTGTGCTGCGTTCCTTGTTGCGTGGTCAAGGGCGACGCCCAACTAAGTGTTACCGCTCTATTGCAGCAGTGCAGCGAGCTCTGGTGCCGACAGGAACACAGGAGGGCATCGCTTTGCTCGGCTCCCGCCGCACAGTCTCCGCTAGGCAGGTCAACGCCAGCCAGAACACCTGCGTTTGCTGCGGGGCTCGTGGCATGGCGAGCCGCACGGCTGGCGGTGCTTTGCAGCCGTGGTGCAATTGCAGCAGGGCCCTGCGGGAAGCAGAGGGGGCGGACACATATTCAGCCCAAGTCAGCAGGGCATGCAGCGCGCAGTACCCTGTGGTCATATGAACAGGCGTAAGAGGCGGGTGATCGGCGCCCTGCAAACACTGAAATAATGGACACCCATGACCCCCGCGCAGCCTGAGAGCATGGCGCACCTGCAGGCCAGTGGCCCGCCGTTTCAGGCGCTGCTTCCCTTTGTGACCGCGGCGATGCCGACGGGCTGCTGGCGGCAACTGCGCAGGGCAGGGCAGCGCGGTGCAGCTCGATCACGCGCTGACGCTGGCCCTGGCGACTGCTGATTGCCGCACGACAGGCGACGGGCTTTTGAAGCTTCTTGAGACAAAAAGCGGCGGCCGCCTGCTCAGCTGCCCAACGCTGCCAGGCGCTGCGTGATGTGGTCGTGGCGCGAGAGGGCCGCGTCTGAAAATTGGAGGATCTCTCTGGGTCCGGCTGGGGGCGGCGCGTTTGAGAAGTAGGGGTGCGCCAGCGCCGCGGCCGCGAAGGGGCGGCCGTGTGGGGGGTATCTGAGGGCCGGTTGGAGGTCGCGGATGGTTGAAAAGTGGGGCGCATGATGGTTCGGTTGAGGGGACTGGCACCGCGGTGCCGCACAGGAACACTCGCAAAAGTAGCAGCACTGTGAGGATGAGAGGCACGCGCCAGCAATCCAGAGTTGCACAGCACCATGTGATCTGCAGGAACCCACTTTATCCCTTCGCATCATAGACATCACCTCACACACTGCGCTGTGATGCCCCAACCCATACACGCACTTGCGCAGCAAAGCTCTCAAATGCAACTCCAAGCTGTTGCAGCACCCATCTCCGAACAAGTCTGCCCCCCTCGAAACACAAACACACACACACACACACACACACACACACACAAACACACACACAAGCACGCAAACACCCACCCATCCCCCTCAACATGCAAACACACACACACACACACACACGCGTGCGCGCACACACATGTATGCATATTGCACACCTCAACATGTGGCCTAAAAGGTCCAGTCCATCCTCTGGCGCATCGGGCAGCAGCGCCGCCAGTCCAACACCACTGCTTTCCTCGAAGAGCACCTTGCCCCAGTCCGGCAGCTGCGCTAACTCAGGCCACTCTAAGGTCGAGAAGCTGCCTAGCAGCTGCTGCATCAGCGCGAGCTGCCCGATGTCGCTGCTGCCTGGTATCAGGGGGGCCAAGCCTGGGGCGTGCGTTTGGGTAGGGGCAAGGGAGGGGGTGCTGTGATCGAGTCTGCAAATGGTTGTGTGCATGAGCGTGTGAGTGTGTGAGTGTGTGAGTGTGTGAGTGTGTGAGTGTGTGAGTGTGTGAGTGTGTGTGTGTGTGAGTGTTTGTGTGTGTGCGCGTGTGTCTTGAGGGGATGGGGTTGGGGCATATGCGCAGCGTGTGGCACGCATCATATCTGCGTGGTCAATGAACACCTTCAACAACCCGCACCCACCCTTGTCACTGCTCTAAGGTCATGTGGGTGTACGTGTTTGCTGCCACGTGTCCCCGCAGCAGTGTCTCTCATGCGGCGGACCGCCATCAACAGCCCACCCCCAAGCACCCATCCGCCCCAACCCCAACGCCCCCCCTTAACAGAAAGCACCGCGCACCCAGCAGCTCGGCAAAGACCATGCCGGCGCCCCACATGTCGACGGCCGCGCCGTCGTACTGCTGCGCGCCGTACAGCAACTCCGGGGCGCGGTACCATCGGGTGGCGACGGCGGCGCTGTAGCGGCCGGCAACCGCCGCCGCATCTTCGTATACGGCTGCACGCGGCCGGGGGTTGCCCCCTCCGCTTCCGGACGACTCGGAGCCACCGCCGCCGCCGCTGCTGGCCGCGACGCTTCCCGGACCGGCCGCAGCCGCAGCTGCAGCCGCGAGCGCGGCCGTGCTGGTGCAGCCGACGCTGTCTTGTTGCGCCGCAGCGCCCTCTGGCCCCATGCCGCGTGCGAGGCCGAAGTCTGCGAGCTTCAGGAGTCCTTCGAACGAGATGAGCAGGTTTGAGGGCTTCACATCGCGATGCATCACTCCTGGGTGTGGTTCACGAGCACCAGGGTGGTTGGCAGCGCGGCGGCACGCGGGGCAGCGGTGCCGCTGCTGCATGATGGCGAGCCAACGGCATGCAGGCGCGAAATGTCAGCTAGCCTGCATAGCTATCACAGCTAGTCGGCGGGCGTGCATGCGTGGGGGTCAGTGCCGCCACGCGCAGCGCGCGTGCAGGGCCCGCGAGGCAGTGCCGCCACACAGGCGCCTCAACGGTCTAGCCCTGCCGGCAGCGGCGGGGGCGGCCCGGCTGGCGCACCCGCTGCATGGCAGGCGTCCAGCGCGAGCAGCAGCTGCCTCAGGAGGCCCTTGGTGATCTGGGGCGGCAGCGGGTCGTAGCAGGCGGCGATGAGGCGCGAGAGGTCTGTTGAGCAGAGCTCTTGAACCAAGTACAGCTGAGATCCCTGCTGGGTTGATTTTGAGATTTGGGGTTTACGAGGCAATATAGTGAGCTGGTTGCAGGCAATGTGCTGCAAGATGGTGTGTGACACACATCGTGTTCGATGCTCAGGATGGGTGGCCATTCGGCCAGTCTCAAGTGAGCAACGTTTTAATGCAGGCGTCAGCTGTGCCGCTTGACTAGGCAAGCAGCCAGACAAGCCACTGCCGCAGGCCCGAATCATGAAATTGTGCAGGCTTGATGCAGCCTCAGACACCCGTAGCTGCTGCCGCCCCCCAAAGCACGTACTTGCACCAGGAGCATTCACCGCAAACCCCACCTCAGAGAGGGCCTCCACCAGAGCCACCACGTTGGGGTGCGCCGCCGCCTGCAGCGCGCGCGCCTCGCGCAGCGCAGCGTGCTCGGCGCCCGCCCGTAGGAACACGCGCTTGACGGCGACGCGGCGCCCGGTGGCGCGCTCGACCGCGACGGCCACCTGCAGCGCAGCAAAGGCCCGTTGGGCGCCTTCAGATTGTTCAATGCCACACTCCTGTCCGTGTTTATGACGCTGTGCCCTTGTTCGCGGAGTCTGGAGCTGGGGAGCAGCACATGCGGACTGCGCGAGCGGCGTGCTCAGTGCATACCTCGCCAAAGGCACCCTGCCCGAGCACGCGGACGTGGTGGTAGCGCTTGCGCAGCGTAGGCGGCCACTCGTCCATGAGATACCCTTTATTTGTTCAAGATCTCCGGCTGGATCGCGGCAGTTCGCCGCGGAGAATACTGCTTTGGCTGAGAAATCGGTTTTGGAACCTAGATACTCAACTTGTGTTTCTTTTACAGCATTCTGGTCGACACTGATATTGATACGCGTGCTCTGTACCGCACTGCAGGTGTGCGGGTGTGCAACGCCATGTGGCGTTTCTGGTGGGCTTCAGCCGCCACATCACTAGCCTTTGTTGGTTACAACTGTGTCTACCACAACTTCAGTAGGCTTACTGCATTCAACCGGCTGTCTATCCTCTATCAGCCACCTGAACATCGTCAGGAGTTGACCATGGCCATGTGGCTTTGACCCACTTCGACACCCGGGAGTGTTGTACAGTCAGCGGCCACGCCAGGGTGTGATTGGATTATCACTGGAGCAAACCTATACTCCGTGTGGACCGCTGCCACAATCATGTGCATCGTTGCAACAGGCCAGGACGTGTCTGTTGGTGTGCCGGCCTGTGCCTTGGAACCCCTCTCCTGCAGTGCTGGCCTTGCCAGAGCAGCTGGAGGTCTGGCGTGGACGGGGCTCTCAAACTCCTCGGCATTAACCCCACGCTTGGCTACATGTGGGTGTGGAGTGTGCCGTTGACACGCGGCATCCACCTCATATTCATGATGAGGTGGCCCAGTGCGAGGGATGAGGGATCTATGGCCCCCAACGAACAGCGAGCATCCTGTCTACCAAAGCAAACTAGTGTGGCGAAACGCCATCGTCCTGCTGTAGAGAGAAGTGTGTAGTGGCTTGCGGTCGCTGCAAAACACGTCGGCTTGGTGACGGTGCAGCGCCCAGAGCACCGCACCAGCCGGTGGCTGGCTGGAGCCCGCCCAGAAAGGCGTCCCCGCTCATCTGATGTCAGCATGAGGTGTGGCCAAGGGAAGATGGACGCAGGCGCAAACACAGCCCGGGACCCTCGCAGCCGCGAAACATTTGGGCAGCCGCGAAAGCCCAGGGAAGCGGACAACGAGGAATATGCTGGAACTGGGAGGGGCTGGGGCCAAGGGCGCGCAGCAGCCTTTGCCAACCACCCAGCACCGCATATGATATGTCTGCTTGGTGTGAGGGGATGTTTGTTGCACACAAAGGGCAGCTGTGCCGAAACACTCGTATCAGGCATGTATATTGGTGTGAGCGTGGGGTACATGGGGGCAGAGTTGTGGGTTCCCTTGTGGCAAACTGCGACCAGCAGCGAGGGCTTCATACCATACACGGCGGCCACGCCTCACATCACGTCAACTGCCATGAGCTGCGGCGCGTCCGCGGCAGCGCCCGTCGCGGCCCGCCCTCGGGCGTCGCCCCCGTCCGTCCCCGGCTGCTGCGCCTCGTGCAGCGCGCACGACGCCGCCTGCTGCCGCTGGCGCGCCCCGGCCTCGCCCTGCTGCTTGCGCGGCGGCGCGGGGGCCGCCTGCGCCTCGTCCTGCTGCTGTCTCTGCTGCTGCTGAGCCGAGATTGGCGCCGTGGCAGCCCCCTGCTGGCGCTCGCGCTGCTGCTGCTGCTGCTGCCCCTCCGTGTATCGCGACAGGAGGTACGAGAAGCTCTCCCCCGCGGGCCCGCTCTTCGTCGCCGCCAGCACCACATCAAACGCGCGCTTGGTCGCCATCCGCGCGCGGTCGCTGTGCAGCGCGACAGACTGCAGCGCCTTCGCCAGGTCGAGCCACGCGCGCCCCACCGCAGGATGGTCGCGCCCCAGCGCCTTCTCCGCCGACTCGATGGTCGCCTGCCACTCGTCCAGGCGCGACAGGTCCTGCGCCGTCTTCGGGCTCGGCGGCGCCGCCGGCGTCGGCGGCGCGGCCGCGGCGCCGTCC